AGCTAAACAGTGTGTTTCACTGCGCGCGTGTGTGTCCTGGTGCAAATTACTGACTACGGTAAGCAGAAATTCGTTCACTCATAAGCATGAGTAAACAAAAAAACACTAGTGACAGCAAAAATAGCTCACCTTTTACAGCCTCTGGTGGTAGGAAATTAAAAAAAGGGATTGCGGCAGCAAAAAGAAAAACAGAGGAAAAAAGAATGGCAGGAAAATGTCGCCTCATCACTCGGTTATCAGCTGTTTGTGGGTCCTAGAACGAATTGCAATCTGCATCGCCCCGACACTCTTCTGACGTGGCATCGATCGAGGGGCGGGAAGGCCGCGCGAGCCGGGAACAGGGGAGTGCGCTTCGTTGCGCGCGTCCGTCGAAACTAGGTCACGCCGCAGCTGTCGCACGCGGCGCGTCGCAGTTGTCACTGGGGCATACGAATTGCGCTCGGTCCACGGTAGTCAGCCTAAAGAGAAGATAACACGGACAAGTGCAAATCATTCGTTTCACTGACGAGTGGTGGTACTGTAATGTTATCTCCGCGAAGTGGGCGGGGCGACCTAGCTTTAAGGACGCGCACAACGGACGTTCTCCGGGAATAGGGCTTCCACTAAGCCCTAATCGTGGAGTTTTTGGGTGCGAAAGGGTCCTTCCTATTACCCTTGGGGGCCATTGCGTATTTCTAGGGGAAGAACTCAGTAACCATCTTTATCGTGAATCGTGCCTTCAAAGGATGGAACGGCCATTTTCTCTTTTGACTGCTCTGGGCATGCAGCATATGCCTTTCCCAGCCTCTCATTTGACGATGTAACGGAAGCGAATGCCTACTTCGCTCTTTCAACTTTTGTTACTCCGCTTGACTTCATCTCCGAAATTGAGAAGCGGCCGCCACCGGACGAGTTAGAACAGATAGGTACCAGATAAAGAGAACGAGTTTAAGGCATAGCCATCATAGACGCCATTAAAGTTCTTTTACCGGAATATAGCAAAAATGAACCTTTCACTGTCGTAAACCATACTTTCAAAGTAAAAACGAAAGTAAACAAGGCCAATGAAGAATTCAAGTAAATCATGCCCAAATTGAACAAATTATCTCTTGGAATCCTTCAATTTGGGTAGATAACCGGATGTAGAGTGCACCATAGCAACCGAGTTCGAGTTTTTCTTCACTGGAGATGTCTTGCTCGAACGGATAGGATTCGGCTCTGCAACAGCTTGCAGGTCCGTCGCGACATTATTCTGAGGATGAGATGTAACACCTAAAACAACTCTCCATTGAGCAATTCGGTATGAACAGCCTCTGAGAAGGACTCAACCCGACCATTTCTCCCGGCTCCATTAGACCTTCCCGTCAATATGCTGCATTTCACCCCTCGGACACGTAAGTGAACGAATCGTGCTGCCCATTCTTCTGCTTCAGCGTCGAGCCTGGGGTCTGAATAGGAAGGAAAACTCATTGAAATCCGAGCTTAGGTAGGAATACAGACTAACCAGACATAGGTACTCCTTCATAAAGACGAGCGTCCAGCTCTGCAAGGAATCCATGATGCGAATCTCTTGATGAATTTGGTTCGCTATAAATCGATTCACTCCAGCGGGACATATCTGGTGGAAAATCATCATCACAGGATTTAGAGAAAAAATGAGAAAATAAAGGCAGAAATGAATGGAGAAAAAATTTTTGAATATACAGAACAGGAGCCTAGGTTGGTTGACGTCTATGATGTGCCAACTTTGTAAATTAATGGAGCTAAACATAATTGTATCTCTAAGGAGCTTCTTCAACTTGTAGATCGACTTTGAAATTCCTGACTTCTAGCACAATCGGGCAATAAGAAAACGGAGGTTGTCGTCATGTTGAGGTTGCGGAGCCGCAAAGACCGGCTGAGCGCTCACCATGGCAACGTCTTCTCCTCTGAGTCTAGGGATGGGTCAGAGGGCGCCATTGCGGTCGCCTTATGCAGGGCCTCAGGTGATCTCGAGATAGTCATTTGTCCAAACATTTTAGCAGCCATCAGGGTGGCCATGGGTTTTCCTTTAAATTTTCTCACTGTGTCCAAACTCAAGTCCCAAACTTGGCATTTCTCCTCCAATGTAAGATTCAGTTCAAAGCAGTTCTCAGTCTGACATCCACTTTATGCCCACCCTTTTTTCCTATTTCCACCTTTTTTTCTAATCCATGTGATCACGTTTTTCATTCTATGACCGATACTATATGGAGATGAGTTCCCAGGGCTGATTAATGTCCAAAAGAAGCAGAAATAGGATATAAAAACTGATAACATAGAAAATTTGGATAACTATTCCCATTCAATGGAGAAACATCGCCCCATTCTGCATCCGCCGACGCACTTTTGAGTCCCAAAAGAATGATCATCTCAGGTCGACTTGAGGTTGTAGGCCCGGTTGAGCGGAATGTAGTCAAGTGATGCGATTTTTTATTTGAACTGCTCAGAAAATCCATCTCCATATAGTGCCGAATGAAAAAAGGACGAATCAAGATAGGGATCGGACGAGTTTTTCTGAGCGATAGAGCGATGTTCCGGTGAAAACAAACGCCATCGAGGTAAGTGCTCCTAAGTTCTAACCCATTACAACGTGATTGAAATGAATAGTAGAAACAGAAGACGCCTTTGGAATCATGAACAAGGAGGTATACAGTAGAAACCAAGGTGCAAATGACTGCAATACCTGGTCGACTTCAAAAGGTCACTCGAGTGATTGTTCAGTGGTAAACCCTGAATCCGCTGATTGGGTCCCTTTCGAATAATGCCAGTGAAATCCCCACCAGTCGATTTACTCGTAATTCCTTCAGTTTGTGTTACCTGTTTTGCCACTTATCCGAGGCAGGTGCCTGGAATAAAAGCACAGCATTATTAACACATTTAAAGATTTATTATTGTTTCATACTTAACAAAGCCCATGCCACCAAAAGGAGAATTTCGAAATAAATAACAATATGCTTATACGAATCCAACAAACCACATCAGGAATGGAGGCGATACAGCCACAAAACAAGCAGTACATATCAAACAAAAGTGACTTAGACAAACATAACAGCAACAGGGACGGGAAATAGGAGATTTTTCAACTCAATAGGGTAATTTATCACTTCCCGCTCTTCTTTTTTGATTCCTCATCTATTGGCGCTGGCTTGACGAACGGAATGAACTTGCGATATTTCTCTGGCATAAATGGGTGGAGAATCTAAAGTAGTGAAAAAGTATTTCTCGAAAAAAGCCACTCCGATGTATACGAACCTATGTAAATGAAAATAGTGCTTACCTCTGGTACCGTAATTCCATCATCAGTTTGATAGTTTTCTAGCAGAGCGCACAGCACTCGTGTCGTAGCACACATAGTTGCATTCAGCATGTGCACGAAAGGAACCTAAATCAATAGGATGGTAAACTATCAAACCAACAAAGAATGAAAGCAGAAAAACGTGATCTCTACCTTGACAGATATTGATTTTTGGTCTATCTGCCCCGATTTTACCATATTAACAGAACTTACTTCTCCATCCATCTTTTTAGTCATCCCATATCTAACTTTCAATCGACGAGCTTGGTAGTCTGTACAATTTGAGCACGACACCAGTTCTCGGAAGGCACCAGAACCAGGGAACCAAGCCTCCAAATCGAGCCTAAAAGACGTCTTTATCAAATAACATTGTTTTTCCAGGATTCCTTAACAGTTTATATCAAACTGTTTAACAGGAGCTATGAGAATGTGCTAGAAGGGATGGGTTCAACCCAATTCCTTATATGTCAAAGGTTTTACCGAGGTTCAAAGTTGTAAGCAAAACTGTTCCGTAAAGAAAGAACAGAAAAGAGTCACAACATAAATACTTTGACCATTCAATTGCTATTTGTGACGGGAAATCTACGGAAGGTTATTTGCCATCTTTTCAATGGGACCATAGCGCAATTGCATACAGTGCAAACGGGAATGAACGACAAAGATGGCAATCGATTTGTCAAAATAGAAGAGTGATAACCTACAAGATCATAACATATAGAAAGAAGGAAGCAGTAAAAAACAATGAGTAACAAACATACTTCTTTGATGCTGCATTGTTGAGTTCACCCGACACAATACATACTATCTGATAAGGGATTCCTAATAGCTGACAGTATTCCTCAGCGTTGTTTATCATCTAAAAATAATCTTTTTTCAGTATCACCGCTAATTTCGGGACATCTGATTACTTAGAACCTACTTCGTCAAATATCTTCCACGATTCATTGTTCAATGGCGAGCAAATGACGAACTGTTCGACTTTTTCGAACTGATGAACCCTAAGAAGAACAAAGGTAGGCACCAAAATGCGCTTATAATACCGGCAAGTTAAATTAGGATTGAACTCAGTACTAACGCACCTAAAGATACCTCTAGTATCCCTTCCATGACTACCAACTTCTTGTCGGAAACAAGTTGATATACCAGCATATTTGATAGGTAAATCAGACTCCTATAATATGACAAATTGAATTCGAAGTCTTTCAATTCAAAAACAACACTAGTAACCGAACGGTATGAAAACGTTGAGCTCAAGGATCTGAAAAACGCGACAAAACCAAAATAAAGTTATACTATGTTGGTCAAGACTCCAAAAATGCATTTTAAACAGCAAGGCGTGCGCTTTGTACTCATAGAAGGCAAAATGCTTTTTATCGCTGTATTCCTTTTCGGCGAGACCAGCGTGCCGGTAAGTGCAACTGGTACACCAAGGTACAAACTACACCAAAGAGAAACTCAACACAATAAACCGTGATGAATTTCCTTTCAGAAACATGAAATATTCCCGCTCTGTAGACGAAACTCATATACTCAGTGTATGAAACTCAACCTTTATCCACTCATTCCGGTGGAACGCAGCTATCGGTTGCTCGGAAGTGGCAATGAGATATTTCTCATCTATTGAATTATCTCCTAGCACTTCAGATCCTTTACTGTTAACCTGAAAAGTAAAACAATTGCTTCATGGAATATTGCCATTCTGCAGCAAAGGGTAAAGGCATCTCATATGTATAAAAATGAAGAGTCTTTCCTATAAGTCACACCCATGAGAACCACGAATCCTGAATTTCCAAAAGCTCTAAAAACCATGTAAAAGCTAGGAACACGAGAAAAAAATTAACCAAAAGCCTGTGTGATGGAGAAATACTGTGCTGGCAATGCATCAAAAATACCCCTACTAGGGTTGATAGGTTTGAGATTCCTACTTTGAATTCTTTACGAAATTTTCAGTCTTCTTGTAGTTTCAAAGTTATTCAATACGACTTTGTCACCCATGTGGTAGGTTTGCGAGAAAGTGAATGGGAATGTAAATGAAAGTACTGGTTTTGCTTACCTTATACAACTCCTCGTCGAACTGGCTCAGTTGAGCTACTTCTTGCATGACTTCTTTACGCATGAAAAACGGCGTATAGAGCGGAGTGAAACCCTTTTCACCTAACCTGTAATATGAACTAATGAGAGAACCATAGTCAGTAATTCATTGAAACTTACTTTTGCAGTGCAAGCTGGATGATAGCTTGTTCTAGGAAAACAAGGGGTCCTTTCAGGAAATAGCCTCGGCCTCCAGCAACAGCAGTTCCACGTTCACCATCAAAGCCATCAATCATAACTACGAGATCAACCTAAAGGCGTCATCAAATGAGTACATAGGAAGACCAGAGGTCAGAATAGAAGTAGTAATCTACCTACATGGGAATACTTCTTCCGACTTGTGATATCACCGTGGGTTCGTTCAACTCTATTGTTAGCCTCATCATCTGATACGGGAACACTATGATGGATAATGTTGCCAATTTGTATTAGCGACTGATGCCGATCGTCCTCCAACTTTTCCATGGAGGCCTGGAAAAAGCAAGACATTAACTGAAAATAAGATTGGCGAACCCTTAAGCTTCGAATTTAACAGAACCTTTGTGTCATTCATCTTCTCGTCCAGCAGAACGCGCAGTTTTTTTATTTGGACTACCGTCAAAGCCTGAATACCTACTATCGAGTGATAAATTGGTATAATCAAAAAATTTTTTTCGCATACGCTGAGATCCTCTACTTTTAGAGATTCCAATTTTGAAACGATCGAGTCATCAACATTATCATCAGTTCCTTGGGCTTCCTTCTTCTGCAATAACGACGCTCAGAACGCGAAAAGTAATTGAAGAAAGCATAGAAACACACCTTCATTTTCTCCCCTATGGCTTTGCTCAGAACATTTTTTTGGCGATTCAGAACGTCCAAGAGAAAACGTTCTGAACAAATAACATATCGGTTGGTAATCTAATGAAAGTACGGAAAGAACGATCTGAGAGAAGAAAGACAAAATTTGAAGGAGAGCATTTACCTTTCCGCCATGCCTGATCGAGTTCAATAACTTTGTCGACAATCGAAGGATCACAATATCGTTGTCGTTGGGAGTTACGAATAGCCTCAGGGTTTCCCCCTTAAGCAGAAAAATTAACCGTGACATCAGTTTTTCTGGACATCTAAATAAATAAACAAAAACTATGCATGTTACATTCCCCTTGTGAAGATGACAAGTTCAGCTAAAAAGACCGGTCCTGAAAACCCAGGCATTTCTATGAAGACATTGATAAAAAGGAATGTTTTCGGGGAACGAACATTGCAATTTCTGGGACGATAAAATTAATATGAACTTTGAAGAGAGAATGTCGATAGACAAAACTAGATTTCCGTTCTTTTTTTCGCGAACCAAGTCTTCTAATAAGCAAAAGATGAGCGGGCGAACTAATTCAAAGTTGTTCCTATACCTTACAAGGGGATACTCTTGGGCGAATTGCTTCAAACTTCGGAAAAACTCTCTTGTACTCTCCATAAAGAATAAGGTGCTCAAATAAACTGTTGCAAATGGAAAAATTACCTTTTTCTTCGCGGAAGAGATCCATATCCAGCACCATTTTGGGCTAGTTCGAGAGACAGGGCTGTTTAACTGAAAACTTACATACAAAATTTTGTAAAGTGGATTTTGAAGTCGAGCAAACAGATGGAATTAATGGGCACGAAACTCCGAAAGATCTTTCAATAAAAATCCAATACGAAAAGCACTGTTACAATTTCACAAAGTGGGTGGCAGAGCAAGAAATAAGCATTGGAGCGCCGTAGCTGCACTGAGTCACGTTGCATAAGGTTACATCATTCTTTGCAATAGGTGGAAACAACGGGCCATAGTGTAGGAGAGGGTGAAGGAGAACCCCTCATCTTCAACACTAGGCTCTAGAACGCAGAGAATGTGAAGTAGCCGGTTCTCCAGTTCCGTAATGATGCCAGCAAACGCTTTTTGGCAGGGGAATATGGTTTTTAACTAAGCCCTTGGAGGAGGACAGCACCGGGGAGGGTGGATAGAAGTCTGGGATGAAAGAAGAAGTGACCTTGCAAATGTGTGAGCGGCAGCATGCTAGC